GTTTTTTCATACATGAAATAAAAATTTCACCATTCAAGATGTAATGACTTTTTTAATAATCTGGGAAATTTTCCAAAACTTTGCACAGTGTTGTATTAATATAATATTTAATAACTGATGCTTATTGAATAATTAGAATTGTTTAAAAATATTATCTAGTCATGGAGAACTTTGTATTGGAAACCAGCTGAGGACAGACGTAAAAGCAGTTAGATTATACGGTGGTTCCTGGACGCACGCCTCTCGATAAACGGCCGAAACGACCCTAACCCGGTTGTAAAGAGGTCATAGGTCTCTCTGTTCGATTCTTGTCTTTCTTTCGTTCCGGAACGCCTTCGATCCTTTTCTCGTTGCTCGAGGATGGGCCACGGGTTCTTATACTACCTCCTTTGACCGGACAGTGGTCAGTTCCTTTGGTGTCCGTTACAAGCTCGAGGCGTGTTAGTTTTGTTGTCGCCTCTAAATAGGGCAAACAGCAGCGGCGGGTGGCCGATCTTGACAAAGCATCGTTCGAACCTCGGTTGCTGTTAGAAGAAAAGTCAGAGGGACGAAAAATGCGAGAGCAATGCCGCGGCAGCGTGCGTCGCATCTCGCCGACGACGAGACAACCTCGTAAACGGAGCCCCGTGGACTCTGAAGGGCGTGTAAATGGCCTAACTATCCGAAACTCAGCGTGATTTATGTACACGAATGAGCGTGAAACCGTTTGCCACTGACAAATTGCCCGCTTAGTGCCTGGCTCCCGATACGTAAGCAGACTTTTGAAGAAGCGCCGAGGAGGAGACGGCGGAGAGGACAGCCGATACGCCTCTTGACGTTTACTAAAGATCGCTGCTGTTTGAAATATTGAAAACAATTATCCCAGAAACCGAGATGAAACTGTTGATATCCTTGACACGATATTTAGATACTCGTGTTAGCGTGTTGCAATTAGAATTGTTGTACTTTCACAATTTCTACTTTTTCTGATAAATTGAGTAACGCCGCTGACCATTAATCGAATAACAAATGATAAGGGAATAAAATTTTGAATCGACATCTGTCTCCTTTTCCCTTCGCTAGTGCCGTCCGATTCTAATTGGCCATCTGAATTCAAGAATCAAAAGCCAGAACTACACGAAGGACAGACGTTATAACTTCCTGATGCGTGGTGCGATAAAAAAGTGAGAAAGCCGGTAAGGAGGCGAAGGAAGAGAAGAAAAAAAGAAGGAAAAGAAAAGGAGAGACGTTTGAATCGGTGGACCCTTGGATTGAACCCCGGGTCACAAAGGAGCAAGCCTCGTCACGGTCTGAATAGCCACGGCGAGGAGGTTGGATTAGGTTAGGTTAAGTTACGAGGGTGGTTCCCCTCCGGGGTATCTTGAATGGGGCACGTGCTACCGGCGCGGCGTCGTAATCTTTTGGACAACCAGGACCTTCCGCCTGTCAATCTCCTATCCGTTTGTCTGTCTGCCCGGCCATCTTCTACGTCTCTACGTTCTAGGAGTATCTAGGGTGAGGTTCTTTGGACGCGATCGCAGCTGCTCCTACTACTAAGATCGAATTTGCAAGTCTGTTTCTATCGCACGTGCCTCGATCGTGTCCTTCTCGATTTCTTAATAGGTCGATCGAAATAAAAAACCGTCATAAACGTCCGAGTGAACGTTCAGTATATTCAGCTCATAAAAGACTTGAAAATTGAGCAATATTGTTTCATATTCAACACCTACTAGCAATGAAACGCGATAATACTAAAAATAATGAAATAACATTTTGAACCAAGCAATTAACGTAGGAAAGTCGTTAAGTAAAAAGAGATGTGTAAAGGATAAATATTCGAAAAACAATAGACCACAGGATCGTAAAAGACACGAGTCAAAGGGGTCTCGCGTGTGGAGATGTAAATGCGTGTGCGCCAGCTATGCATCTGTCTCCTCCTTAGTTCTATACGTAAGCGCGCGTTCTTTTGCACGCGGGACGCGTGTACGTATGCAAGTAACTTGGTACATACTCGGAATCAGGTACGCGTGAGCCGGTGCAAAACTTATACACTTCGTCGGCGTGGTCGTCGCGACGGGCGAGTTCACGCACGCAACAGGGTTGCATAGTAATATACGGGGGATATAATATAAAGTCGACTGTATATTTAGTCGGGAACGCTAACAGTGTAAGAGAAACCGGGTCTACGACGGCGTTGAGGCTTTTTTATAATCCATTTACCACTGCAATCCTTTTAAACGTTCCTTCCTGCAGTGGTTCTGGAGTGCTTAATGACAGGAAGATAAAAACCGATCTTTAACTATCGGATTCGATCAATCATTTCTGATGAAATTGTCAACTTTGCAGAGTTTAACACCTTCCAGTCTAGAAGCGATTAAAAGTAATGGCAGGTAGAATGCGATGAAGAAATGCAAACAAAAACCAGCTTGAATATTCTTCCTGTATAAAAAGAGTACAATGGAGTGAAAGCTTCATTAATATCAATATCGCTTTTCCGGCATGCAATGTTGTACTGCAAATTACCAGCAGAGAATCTTATGCTCGAATTTCAGAAGCTTGGACGTACAGTCTTTTTAAAAAGTAGTCAAGCTTCAAACATTTCAAACGATTGACAATTCTACTAATTTACCTATACTTTTTGTAGTATCGTCGTTATAATAATAAAGTATTTTTAAAAAATTCTATTCCTTTGGAGTTTATCAACATGTTTCAAACTGATCGACTTGCCTCAAGCCTTGGATCTTGAAATACTTAAACTTCTGAGATTTGTGACAACAGGAAATAACATAGACAGACTTAAGGTAGTGATTGACAATTCTACTAATTTACCTATACTTTTTGTAGTATCGTCGTTATAATAATAAAGTATTTTTAAAAAATTCTATTCCTTTGGAGTTTATCAACATGTTTCAAACTGATCGACTTGCCTCAAGCCTTGGATCTTGAAATACTTAAACTTCTGAGATTTGTGACAACAGGAAATAACATAGACAGACTTAAGGTAGCGGATTCTTGAGGAACGTCTGCTATTAACCAATCCTTCCAAGCGGCTATTTCCAAAGTAATTATATTCGTTTAGAGAGGCGAGTGTCGCACTATAATTCACACAGTCATGTCCCATGCATAAAATCAAATACATACACGCACGCGTTACGGTGTACATATGCGGGTCGGAGCGAACGACTTTGGGCACGCGAGACGATTCTACTCGTTACATAGCGCGCTGCGGCAGTGTAATAAATGCTGTAGCCTCGGTGCTCCGGTCACTACATAGTTGCTCGGCTACTGGAATACCAACCAGGGTTACAGTGTTACCGTGCGATGTCAGACGTGGAATGCAGCACGCTGACCGCTTCACTACGTATTTTAATACCCTGGACCTTTAACTGTCTTACCGTGAATGTCCTGCTGCGTCCAGAGGATTAGGATTACTCGGTCGTGGTGCGGTCAGGTGCACGAGCCATTAGTATTGCTGGCCTCATTGACGACGCGCTTATTCCAAAATAAGTTAATTAACGGCAGCGAGCCGCGGTGCAACTTAACACGTCCATGTAATTACGAAATATTGTATTACCGAGAGAATCCAGTTCACTGAACGGCCAATCAATGAGACTCATTAATAAATAATGATACACGCAGCTTGTTTTAATCAAATAAAAATCGTTGCTATTATTCAAGGTATGTAAGTTTATAGCATTTAGAAGATGAAAAAGAATTGGAAAAGAATTATAGGTACTAGCATATCTATTGGTAATTTACTCAGTCGACGCGAGTTTTGTATTATAGGTATTACGAGTTCTCTTATGAAATTAGTTTTAGCTACTAGCGACGTTCCACGGATTTGCCAATTACGTAACGGCTGGATCGTTCGCGTTCGCCGTGAATTATGAAAGTAGCTAACGTTATTATGCGTTACCCGCGGCACGCGTATCTGCATTGTGCTGCTAGTATCTCGCCAGTTACCTTTTTTTTTTCTACTCCACATGCCCGGTAGGTGATTTCCAGTGGTGCGTGGTGTGCGTATACTACGGGATTTTATCGATTCGACGCTAAACAATGTACTTTAGCATTTTTCTAGGCGAGTTTAAACAAAATGTACTTTTAATTTTTTCTTGAGAGCAAGAAAATGACTTGATGAAAAGGGTAACAAATTTTTGTTGGCCATAATTGGGTATAATTTATTTTGTTATAATATTTGGATTAGGTATCTACAGTTTCTGATTAAATTTTTTGGTAGTCAGGTAGTACAACATGAAACTATTTTATAACTTGTTGAGGGCACTGCCACTGATCGAACGTTGAAACGATACCTATTACATATCCCAAAGGCATTCTCTCAGCCGAATAGACGGAGAGGTGCCGTAAAGTTAACGTTCTTATCTCGTTGACAGCTTTACGTTGCTCTTTCTGCATGGTACAAGAGAAGCTTGGCCGGGTGAGGGGTACATAATAGAAAACAACGGATTGATTTAATTACCGTTGTGCAATGGAGCACGTGGGCACGGTGGTATCGGCGATCGAAAGCTAGATACCGCGATGACCGGTACTGGTAATTAGCGATTACTGATAAGCAAAACAAACGTTCGTCTTAATGACGACTTTACTCGTTAAGGTTGGCATACCACCCCCGTCTTAGAGCAATTAGTATGCCACCGTTCCTCGATAGCTAGATCAGATAATACCAGAGATGCATTCGACGATGTTTGCACGTCAACGACAACACGTGGGTCCAGTTACGAATTTCGATACAACAGAGACATTTACTTTTTAAAGCATAAGTATTGGAACGTGTAGGATAACAAATAAACATGTTTATTTAGTAGACACAATGAAATAGATGCGTCAAGAAGGAGGACATATCAGCAATGATTCGATGATTGATCAAAAAATTTAACGTGTGTACGAAACAAAATATCCACGTGGCTAGTGTGATAAAATTCGGAATTGAAGCTTGGATACAACGAGAATATCGCAGAGTTAGGAGGTATTTAAGTGGTATGTGGATGACGGAATGTTCTCACCTCTTGTGCAGACGGCAGCGTGGATCTGCTAGTCGACGGTCGTTCAATCGTGGCGAGGAGAGACGCGCTCGACCAGGCACACGTCACTTCTATCACTCCACTTCACTCGTTTCATCAAACTTGTTCCTTCGAGCACCGTTTAAACAATTTTCAATCACCAGTCCAGAGACGTTGTTAATATATCAATCACGTCTCTATTTAATATCTGATTTACAAATTGTCTTTTAATATACTCGACGAATACGAACTCCTCGAACGCTATCGTTTCGTGCCAAAGTCTCCTTAACACTATTAACTATTAATCATCGTATCACTAATAATAAAATGAATTTCGTGGAATCGAAACTTACTTAGGACAAGTACACAACACCAACGCCTGCCAATAATCTGTTGTTAATCTTTCATGACCTTCCTGCTTTGTACACCGGTTCTCAATCATATTGCTACGTGCCAGTTCGTTATTGATACACATTTAATTCTGTATCACCACTTGAATATTCCACAGTCACTTTCGATGTTCTCCCTCGCTAGTCGAGGGTATTCGATGTCCAACGACGCGATTTCTTCTCACAGCTCCCGCGCCATTCACCGGCTTCATTCAACCCGGAGAAGCCAACTTTTCGTCAGCGAGGATCGACGGGATCGGTTAGAGGGCAGTGGAGCGTGTCCGTCGCGGCGGCGAAAATCGCGGATTAAAGAAACGTGGTCGGAACGGATGAGAGAGACACGCGGAACCAAATGGAAAAGGGAGACGGCGGGAGGCAGGGAAAAGAGATAGAGAAGGGTAACACGATGAGGATGGCGTAACACCGCGCGTAGTAGCGGACAGTCGGCAACTAAAGGCCCCGAGGAGAGTCACCTCTCTCTCCTTCGTCTCTTCTCTCGTCCTCTCTTCTGCCGCGTGTGTGTCTCTCTCTCCGCAGCACACGTGTGTGGCCGTCCAACACACGAGTGCCGTGCGTGCACCTCGGAGAACACGTACGATGTTCCTTATTTTCCCTCTCCCCCCGGCGCGGTACCCTCTGCCGATACTCACCACTCACTCACTCTTTCTCTCTCTCTCTTTCTTTCTCGCATCACCTACTCCTTCACCCCTCCATCCCTTAATCCACCTACAGTACCCTCCCCTTTTTTTTCCTTTCCCTGCTCGCACGGCCGATCTCGTCCTCCTCGCTCTCCTCTTCTCTCTCCCTCTACCTCCTGATCGCAATACCACGCACCAACTGCAACCGCTTGCAGATGCACGTCGACTCCGTTTCACGCGCGTTCGTTTCTCCCTGTGTGCGTTTCGCCGATTCGCGTCGGTGTGCGGTAAGCGCGGCGAACGAGGTGGGAGGCAGGACACGCGACACGGGACTCTGGTAGGGGAGAGAGAGGATCAAACGAAGTGGGGAATCTACTCCCCTCGTACCACCATCCCCTACTCTGAACGGATTCGCGCGGGGCACCGCTTCCCCGCGTTCCCTCGGATCAACCGGTGAGCCGCTCTCGTTTTTCTCCGCGCGTTCGCTCCGTTCCTCGCAGTAAGTACTCGGAGCAGTGTCACCGGAGAGGTCAGTTTCAACGATGTATCAACGGGTTACGATACAATTACCAAAACGCAGACCGATTCGTCGGTCACATGCTTTTAATGACAGGGACTATCTAATATGATGGAACAATCTCATCGAAAGGAAGTTTACTTACCACTTTGAAATTTTCCTCTTGATTTCCCGCAGGGTCCGTCAGCTCTACCATTCCCACATAACTACTGCGATCACGTATCGTCGATTGCACAAACTTTCAATCTCAATTTATAAAATCTTCACCAAGTCGTTAAGGATTATTCAGGAAATGAAAGCACTCTCGTATCAAGACTTTAAACGACTACTTCGAGTACAGTAAAAATCCACTGGCACCGAAGAATGTAATAAAACGGTGCGTAGGTGTGAAGCAAGTTGCAAGCAGAATCCTCGGATACACGGCGCGCGTTTATAGTTGGTAGCCGAAGCGGCGAACGACTACGCACTAGCAGCAGCGTGTGATTATCGTCAACAACCGCGTCTCGCGGTTACAAAACTCGCCCCCTGAAAGAGCCGAAAGGAGGGGTGGTTTAGACAGCCTCTCCCTTCGAATTCCCACGCCGAGATTCCTCTCCTCCCCTTTCTCTCCACTCCTCCTCCGCTTCCTCGCCGACGCGGACTCCACCCTTGCAAACGTACTGAGGAGAGGCAAGGACGATCCCCTGTTTTCGTTCTCTCACCCTCTGCGTTCCCTCCGGGGTTCCTTCCTCCCCCTGTAAGCGCAACAGTTCCGGCACCCCTGTATCGAAACGGGAAGGACGAGAAAACATCGTTCCTGAACGTACCAAGCGATCGCACTATCCATTAAGTCAGATGCAGTCGGTTGCATCTAATCTCGTGCAATCTTCAGTCACATTTTGATCACGAAGACCAAGTACGAAGAATGTAAAACGCAGTGTCCGTCCGTATCGAAGAATTTACGACGCAGAATACGCGTCCCGACATGTGCAACAGGATATCTTAATTAGTTCCCCGTTAGCCTTTTTACCTGCAATTTTTTCTCTTTGCCTTGCTCACCGCCTTTGTTCACACGGAGTATTCTTCGGCAACCCTCGCCACTCGAACAGTGTTATTCGTTAATTTAATCATTTTTAATCGTGCGTTCAACGTGATCGGATAATTTCGATTTACGCGTCTCGAAACTACTAGCAGTATCTCGAGTCCGGCAGACGGGGAGATTTCTGGCCCGGAGTTGGGTGATTAATTCACGCGGAAGACACGCGCGATTATTGTACACGAGCCTATACGTATGAGAAGCCGCGGAATGCGAGCGAACGAACAGGGAACCAGGATGGAAATCACTGGGAGAGAAATAAAAATTGGCCGGGGAAAATAAAATGAGCGAGGAGGATGAAAAGAAAAAGCGCTGAGCGTTATATTCGGTGGATCGAGCTTGGGCGTGAGCGCGCTGTCAGCCGCGCCCGTGCAACGATGTTTTAATTAATGTATTGATAGCGGACGAGCACGGATATATCGGGCCCGAGACGCTGATGCATTCTCTCGCGCCCGGTGAAACCCACGCAACGGCCCTTCGATAATAATTAGGATCCTTGTAGCCTCGTCGCGGGACGATTTCCTGAGACGAGTCCCAGTTTACCAGCGCCTGTTTTATCTTTATTCTCTCCCTCTCCCGGGTCCCGTCTCTGGCCGCGTGGTCTCACCTCTCTTCTGACGCGAAACCACCGTCGAACGCGATCCGATTAATTATACCGGAGTAAATATAATATGTTAATCGGATGTATATTGCAGGTGGTAATTGAGTGGCCGTTTCACGAAACGCAGCACGCGATCGCGGCGCCCGATTATCATTTGACGAGTTGTCCAGTTCCGTGTAAGGAGCCTCTCGGGTCGGCTGTTCGTGAGGGAATTCGCGTTATCGATTCGTGCGTGTTTTATACTTGTTTTTAGATGGACGCGAATAAAACTTGCGCTTCGAACGGGTTAAACGATGACGCGGACTTTGGTAGCGAGGAACCAGTTTTAGGAACCGATTCTGTTTCCGTGAATACTACGTATAAGCGGCGTCTTTGTTACCCGGGAAAACCGGTGCACATCGATCAAAGGAAAGGTTTAATCGAGTCAGCTGACCGATTTATAAATAAGTACAGATAAGGAGGGATTATCACTGTTTGCGTAACTTTCGGTGTGGGCGTCTCGAACGTTGTTCATTGATCGCCCCATTCCCTCGTCGATGTACAACCGACGTCGACGCCGATACCTAATACGAAAAAATGAACAATTTTTCACATTCGTTTAACAGAAATTTTATAGTCCCTATATTTAATAAATGTGTATTGCATAATTTTGTCACGATTCGATATTTTATCGCCTCTAGCTATAAAATTTGTATTTCTTATCGTTAGAAATTGAATGAATTCCCTTATCAGCAACGATGTTATGAAACATCGATTTAGTCGGTATGCTAAAATCTTCACAGCAAATAACTCGTAATCGAAACATTCCGTTATTTACTGCTATAATTCTTAAGATCAGCATGATGCACTGCTTTCATCATCGACACATAATAGCTGCTCGGGGCGAAAACACTTGGAAACAGCAATATACATAATTAGTATAAATCTAATCAGTCCACTGTGAACTGTCCATGGAAAGTTTTGCAAAATTTCCTGCAAGATCAAGATCATCGTCTTCGCAGCGTTTTTGCAACAACCATTACAAATGTCATTACTATATATTGTTGTTGCAATTATTATCTATTAAAGACGCTGTTGTATCTGAGATACGCGACTCACTGCTGTCTTATCGATGGTTAGATACTTAAAATAGTCCATTATAGATAATCTGCGTTCGTCGGAGACTCGGTGTAGTCGCATGTCGCTTCGGCAAATATTTTGCATCGAACCGATGACCCAAGACGACCCAGACTCAGTAAGACAGCGCCGATTTTTGGCGAGTGGAATATTTTTGTTCCGCGATACACACACTCAGCGCTTGCCGTTATCGTGCGTGGGCGTAACACTCTGATAACGGGTCATAAATACTTTACCGTATGAAGGAAAAATGCTCGCTTCTTGCCATTATAATTTTTAGATTAAAAGTAACTGAAGAACATTGTTTTACATTTTAAACAGAATGAGTACATACGTATAATAATGTATAATGAAAGTGGAGTAAAAATAGAGCAATAATTTCGTTAAAATTACTGCAGAATTGACCTAACAAGAATATTCGCAACATTGTCAGACTGTGCCAACTTAAAATCTGATAATGAATGTAATCAGAGAAAATAACATGGAATCCAGACAGACCCTAGCCAGACCAGGTATACGTTCTCTGACCACAAGCTGGCTAATAATTATACTCGTCGAAAGATTGTGGCCTTTCTTGTTCTTCAACGAGAGCGAAAGGTCCCACTCATCTTCGTCTTCGAAACAACTTTGATTTCCACTTGTTCGAATTAATTTGCATCAAATGCATTTCACCGTCTGTGGAAGCAAACAGAGAAATGATCTACGAGTGCTGTTATACCAACGTTTCTACTCGTGTACGACTGACCCACTTAGGGAGCGCGGAGATTTCGAGAGTTTCGTCTGACCGTCTAGTCAACGACCGTGACAGTGGGCACATAAATCGGCCGCGCGATCCCAGGAATCCATTACATCGGCGTAACAATAAGCAAAACCCGGTTCGGCACGTAACGCGTCGTTGACTCGTACTCCTACCATCTCTCTCGGACGCGGGGCGAGAGTTAGCGGTAGTCTTAACTGAATTATTGTTTCAGTTAACATCGGACATTCATCATGGATGCACGGGCCTCTTGGGCCGCGTAGAAACACGCGTCCCGCCCAAGGAGCGCGTTCTCGAAAGCGTGGAGCATTCATCTTCCGGCGCTGTCGCGTCGCCGAGCCGCCGCGCA